CTCTCTCTCTCTCTCTCTCTCTCTCTCTCTCTCTCTCTCTCTCTCTCTCTCTCTCTCTCTCTCTCTCGTGCGCGCGCGCGCGCGTGCGTGTGTGTGCGTTCACTCGTTCGCAGTGCGTGTGCAGCACTTCGACAAGTGAACGTGGGGAACGCTTGACGCGCACTGCACGACTGTGTCGCGTGCCAACGCTGCCCCCGCTATATATCGCCCCGCGACGAAACGCGGACCTTTTTTTTTTTTTTTTTTTTTTTTGGGACTACGAACTCCCCACAATCTCCCCTGAACACCGCCAATGCTCCAGTGACCTTAGAGGCACCCCCAGCCCCGACAGACCCCTGCGCGAACACGTCAATTGCGTTCTGGGCGTTAAGTGAACGGGCGTTCACTGTGTTCAAAAACTGAACGGGGAACGCGCATTCAATAAATGCGCGGTAACATAGCAGCCATCCAATTTTCCTGTTCTGCCTTCTCTTTCTCATCGGCTTCCTTCTGGCGTTATTCCTTCTCTTCCCTTCTCTCACTCACCAACTCCATCAGAAGCGCTGACAAGTCCGGATCTCGTTGGTAGACCGGGTTACGTGGTCTATCGTTCCTCCAACTGTGCGGATTGTTAGTGCCAGCGTAGCCGCCGTTCGTAACTGCGGAGGACGAACCTGAGGATGGCGCAGCGGCGGTGACAGGAGGTGGGATAGTAGGACGTAGAGCATTAGAAGTGGTAGGAGCTGGTAATAAAGGAGGTCTAGAGGAGGTGGAAGGATGACTAGCACATACTTGAGCAACGATGGGGCAGTCCCTAACCCAGTGGCTATAGTCGCCACAGGCCAAACAAGGCTTCGAAATGGGAGGCGGATTCCCGTAGTTCGCCATCGCTGTAATCCTCTTAACTATCGCTCTGCAAAGCCAAACGAAAAACAAACCCACAAATATCCCAATAATCATCCGACAAGATTCAGAGGACGACACCCGTGTGTCATAAAGGCCAAAGCCCACCATTATTAGTCGAACCTACGTCGCATGACTGCCCACCAGGAGAAGTCAATACTTAACAGGTTAGCAATCTACTTCATGTTGTGAATGGTCAACTAGAGGCATTACAAACCAACACGGGACTCCATGCATCAACGCGACGTCAAACAGAATAGGTGGGAGAGACACCATAGACAAAAGGTGGTCAAGGTCGTAAACTTGATAAAAATTGAAGCGCATCGAAGGCAGATTGAAAAAAGTCACAGCTATAGCGCCGCATCGAGGACATTTCCTTCGAACGATGTCATACAAGAAAAAAAAAAAGAAAAAAAAAATCAAATGTGTTTGAGACCTTCAGCCAATAGGGTGCCGCCACGATCCAGATTCTCGGTTCTAACGTCTCTCTACCCATGTGCCCTCTCCTCTCCATGAAACGTGGATTCCTTTTGCCCAAGGGACCTCGTGAGGTCCCTTGGGCAAAGGAAGAAATGGCTGGGGAATCCTTGGAGCCCAAGGAATTTCCTTCGGAGTGTTTTCACTTTTTTTTTTCCGACTGCATCCCCGAGGATAGGTGGAACGGACAATTCCTCGGGGACTTTACGCACCCGAGGAGTGTCGAACGAGCCCTATCTTCGCTAGTCCAACTGCAATCTCTCTCGTCAATTTGCCCTGTGCACATCAGAGGTGAGCGCCCATTGTGGTGCGCACCTGTTCGTATCTTCTCGCTGCGAATTCTTCGCATTGTAAATTCATTCTCCTGTACTCCATCTCTCTTACAACAAGATGGGCCTGAGGCATGGAAATCCCCCGTCTCTGCGGGCGGTTGCTCAGGTTTTGCCGAGCAGGACCCATTCACCCGCCCTTCACGGCATTATGTCGGTACCGCTATGGTAGGTCGAACCGGCGCCGGCACCACTCTCAAAATACTTCTTTCTTTTTCTTTTTTTCCAACACAAAATGGCAAAAAAAAAAGGAAAAAAGAGAAACTATCATATTTGGATCTGGCAAAATGGTGGAGGTCACACTGCACAACTTCTTCATCCGGCGCCTTTCCTTGGACAGACGAATGGAGAGAAAGTGGGTTTAGTCCCAACGTGCAAAGTTATTGTACAGGGAAGCTGTCCCTGTGGGAGCAGTGGTTGAGGCTCTTGGGCCTCGCCACGCCACTTTTGAAACTATGTTTTCAAGAGTTGGACGCGTCGCCACACAGCCACTTGAGAGTTGTAGCCCGAAAACTCTTTCGAGAGTTGTCAGAACCTCGTTTCGAGAGTAGCACTCGAAACTCCGAAACACCCAGCCTGCAGCACCGCTCTTTTCAAGCGTCCTCCCGAGAGCACTCGAAGGGCCTTCGATTTTCGAGAGGTGTCAGGCCATTATCCTGACTCCATTCGGAAAAAACAAAGCTATATGGCTGTCGTTTTCCATCGGTTGTCCAACACCATCGCCCTTTCGAGAGTGTTGTGTGGCGAGGGGCCCGAAACTTTTTTTATTTTTTTTTTATTTTTTTAAAGGCCCTCACGATATCCCTCTAACCTGGCGGTGGTAAGAGAACCGTCAGGATTGAAGGCTTACCTGTCGGGCTGCTCCATCTATTGGTGGGGAGTGGCACCTGCTGGAAACCGGGTCCAGCGTCCCATTGATACATCATGTAGGAATGAGATTGAGATTTGTTGTTCCTGGGGCTGTGGTTGTTTTCGGTCAACCCGGGGCTACGTCATAGGGGCCCGAAACTCTTAAAAACCCAAACCTTGAGAACGTCTGACAGCTCTTGAAAAAATTCCCCATTTTAAGAGTGGTGTGGCGAGGCCCCTTCCAGCCCTAATGGGAAGAAGCATGTGTGTGTCTGCGTTGTATTTCAATTTGATAATATGAGCCTTGGACACTGGGGTCCTGAGTTTCTATTAAAAAAAAATAATAATAAAAATCAGGTTGGGGCTATGTTGGCCAGATATGCAGAGGTATTGTCATGAGTGTGATTTGACAATCACGGAACAATGCTCTTTAATTGGATGACTCGCAGCCCGATGCTTCCAACCCCTACGCAGTGGTGGACTACGCCGCCAAATACTACAAGGACCTCTTTACATCCCGTATGCCCCGAAGGGCACAGGAAAGCGTGGTGAATGCGAGACAACAGTTGTTGGCTAACCTTAATATAGCTCTTCCTCACGCCGTCACCCAATCCTTAGAAGCCCCGCTTTCTCAGGATGAGGTCTACACTGCACTGTAGCAAATGGAAGATGAAAAAACACTGGGCCTGGACTCCTTCCCCAAGGAGTTTTGACTCGCATTCTGGGAGGTTTTTCGTCAGGACTTGATGGATTATATTGGCGCAGTCCTGGAAGAGGGGACTTTTGGGGGCCTACTCAACCAAGGGGTTACCACGCTGCTTTACAAAAAAGGGACAAAAAACGAAGTGAGAAACTACAGACCCATCACTCTCTTTGCCGGTCCCGTACAAAATGGTAGCCAAAGCCCTCACGAACAGGCTGCTGCCGCACATGCACCGTCTCATTCACCTAGACCACTCCGATTTTATCCTCAGACGTAACATACAGCACAACATACTGCTCGTGAATGTGACCATCAAATATGCTCGGCACAGCGGAAAGGAGGCGGCCATCCTCTTCATTGACTTCGAAAAAACCTTCTTTTTTTTTTTTTTGGGGGACAAGAAGCTCCGGTCTATTCGTGGGGAGCAACACGTGCTGGGAACCGGGCCCAGCGGTCCCATATGAACATACATCGGTTTATAACACCGGGGCCATTACCCGACTTCGGCTGAGAAGAACCTAAGGATAGAATGCTTCAAGCACGTTCGAAATCAGAAATACCGCCTGCAATCTTCCGTGGCTGGTTTTCGCAGCAGTCGTCCGTGGCTGGTTTTCGCAGGCAGCGACCACGCGGACGGGCGACCGGTACCCGCGCAAATCCGACGTGCGGCCTGAAGCAAATTTCCGGCTGCTGCGACGACGGTGAGCGCCGCCGCCATCGCCCTTAGGCCTCTCTCTCTCTCTCTCTCTCTCTCTCTCTCTCTCTCTCTCTCTCTCTTTATATATATATATATATATATCCCCCTCCGACCTTGGCGGCTCG